ACGTTATAATATAATTGGTAAGTGCCCTGAGATGATAACCTGGTTGATTACACAGATGGACCACACTCAAGCACGATGCCCTCTGCTTCCTCCCGGGAGGGACGGAGGAGCAGCGGGTGAGAGCATCCTGGAGCCCCGCTGTCTGGCTTTGATCCCCATTCTGCCCACTTTCTAGCTGGGAGGCCTCAGGCCCTGGGAATCGTGCTTCCTTCCTTGTTGGAGGAAGGGGTGAATGGTAGTATCTGCTTCGTGGGGCTGTTGTAAGGATTAAATGGGTAGCTCGTAGGAGGTGCTCCTAAAGGTTGCTGTGATCCCTCCTAGAACATGAACGATTGGATGCCCATCGCCAAGGAGTATGACCCGCTTAAAGCTGGCAGCATTGACGGCACCGATGAAGACCCACACGATCGCGCTATCTGGAGGGCAATGTTGGCACGATACACCCCCAACAAAGGCGTCACGGGAGACCCCCTCCTCACCCTGTTCGTGGCGAGACTAAACCTGCAGACCAAAGAGGAGAAGTTAAAGGAAGTATTTTCTCGCTACGGGGACATCCGGCGGCTTCGGCTGGTGAGGGACTTGGTCACGGGCTTTTCGAAAGGCTATGCCTTCATCGAATACAAAGAGGAGCGTTCTCTGATCAAAGCTTACCGAGATGCAGACGGCCTGGTTATTGACCAGCACGAGATATTCGTGGACTACGAACTGGAAAGGACCCTCAAAGGGTGGATCCCTCGGCGCCTTGGAGGAGGTCTGGGGGGGAAAAAGGAATCCGGGCAGCTGAGATTTGGGGGGCGGGATCGACCTTTTCGGAAACCCATTAATTTGCCGGTTGTTAAAAACGACCAGTACAGAGAGGTAAAAAGGGAAAAGCAGGAGCGATCCCGGTCGCGAGAGAGACACTGGGACTCTCGGACGAGGGACCGAGACCATGACCGAGGCAGGGAGAAGAGATGGCAGGAGAGAGAGGCAACCAGGGTGTGGCCAGAAAGTGACTGGGAGAGAGAGAGGGACTTCAGAGATGACAGAGCCAAGGGGAGGGAGAAGAGGGACCGAAGTAAGTAGAGGCTCACCAGCACCACCAGAGCCCAAACAAAGACACCGCGGAGGCACAGAGAGATGCGTGGCTTTTATACAAAGTGTACGTCCAGTGCTTGAATAAAACTTGCTGGTGGTGATGGGGTCTGGAGTTGAGTTTTCTTTCCAGTCTAGAACCCAGGTTTAAGCTGAACACGCTGATAATTACGGGGTTTCTCCTCTTCACCTTGTAGTTCTAAGGACCCATTACATTTATTACAGTCGTGTCCTCACCGGCAGCCATACAGAAGGGCACGTGTACGGAGCCACCACTCTGGTTTAATTTGGCAGTAGAGAACTTGTTTTGCGATTCTCCTTTTCTCCTGTCTACTGGAATTGACCGTTTTGAGGGGCTGGCGAAAAAGAAGTGACGACCGAAAATCCTTTGCATCGCTCTGACTCCTGGGAACCCGAATCTGGCTAGATTGTTGGGAAAGTGGTATCTTTCCCATCTGTATATCTATAGCGTACAGGCCTGCCGAACTGAAATAAAAATGGGATAGAAAAGTGAATTCAGGGAGAACGTCCAGACCTTCGTACCAAAGCCAGTGTGAGCAGTGGTCTAGGTCAGCAATCAGCTACCCTTGAACAAATAGAACTCCATTCTTGAGCCAAATGCTGACTGCCTTTTTTTCCTGTTTTTTGGCAGGGAGGCTGGTATTTAAAGTGAAAAACCAAAGTTGCAGGGCTATGGGGTTCTGGTTTATGGCAGCCTTCCAGCCCTTTGAAAAGATGAAGCTCCAAAGAGAGTGAAATGAAAATGAGGAAAAGCCAGTGAAAGGTTTCTGTCTGGTTCTGATGGACTGATTTGTCTTCTCCCTCTTGGACACCTGGCCTCCCATTTGTAGGAGGGCTGCATAGATCATATCGACTATAACTTCTTCTGAGGGCTTTGAGTACCAGGCTGTTCACGTGGTTTTAAAAAAAGTGACACTTAATGTTTCTGTTTTAGCAATGGCTGTATCTTTGCAAGTTCAGGGTCTTAAAACTCAGGATGTTTCATGCAAAGCAAACAATTTAGTATCGAGACTCAACACATTCACGACTAGGTTTTTGCTTTACGAGTATGAATCTCTTTGTTATGTAGGGAACCTGCCCTATCTTAAAACTGCTGTTAGCTGTTAGAACAGTTTTATTTATTTATTTTTTTAATTATTTTTTTTTTTAATGTATGTTTATTTTTTTTTTTTTTAATTTTTTTTTTTTCAACGTTTATTTATTTTTGGGACAGAGAGAGACAGAGCATGAACGGGGGAGGGACGGAGAGAGAAGGAGACACAGAATCGGAAACAGGCTCCAGGCTCTGAGCCATCAGCCCAGAGCCCGACGCGGGGCTCGAACTCACGGACCGCGAGATCGTGACCTGGCTGAAGTCGGACACTTAACCGACTGCGCCACCCAGGCGCCCCAATGTATGTTTATTCTTGAGACAGAGACAGAACGTGAACAGGGGAGGCACAGAGAGAGAGAGAGGGAGACACAGACTCCAAAACCGGCTCCAAGCTCTGAGATGTCAGCACAGAGCCCGACGTGGGGCTCGAACTCACGGACCATGAGATCATGACCTGAGCCGAAGTCGGACGTTTAGCCGACTGAGCCACCCAGGTGCCCCAAGAACAGTTTTAGAAAAATAGGCTCTTTTCTTTGTAAATTTCCAGTGCAGAATCTTACCACGTCCCCCACGTCTCAGAAAACAGCCGTTCAGGAACACCCTTCTGATTTCACACAGGTTGTACAAAGGGCTCCCTATTACAGCACCAGAAGTGCATTATGGGCTTGAGCTGCTAGGTATTTCAGCTAAACGAGCACTCCGCCCTGGGGGTGTGTTGTGAGACAGCACTGGAAGAAAGAGATCCAGTCGTGGTGCTTACATTGTCCAAGCCAGCGGCTGTCAACCCTGGGTCCCAGAACATGGATGGATTAGACCCCTCAGACCGCATCCTTGACATTGAGGCTTCATCTTGTATGGGCCCTGGTAACTAAACAAAACAAAAAAATTGGTAGAGCCCCCACAGCAGAGACCTTAGCAGTAGCTACACAACAAAGGCATACATCTTCTCACCTAGCAATTTTTCTAGTTTATTCTGCAGACTGACGCATGGGTGTGAAAGTGTGCAGTGCTAAAGGAAGCTCCCTGTCCATCCGTGGGGTCTGGACAAACATGAAAAATGACACATCGACGCGGCAGACGGGTCCTCCATTTCGCACTATTACATCTGGTGCTGAAAGAGTCTTTGTTGTGGGGCACTGTCCTGGGCATTGCAGGACGTTGAGCACCATCCCTGGAACCTACCCACTGGATGCCAGTAGTAGTTGTGACAACCAAAACACCAAAATGTCTCCAGACGTTGCCAAACGTCGCTGGGGGGCGTTGAAACCCACTATCTTACGTACTGATGTGGAATCATTTCCAGGGTATTCTAAGAAAAGGAAGGTACAGCATAGCACATATATAGTATGCTGCCATTTATGTAAAAAAAAAAAAAAAAAAAAAAAGAAAAAATATATTTTGTTACATAACTGCATGTATATTTATAAACCCTTTCAGGAAAGACACCCAAGAAACTGGCAACACTGGTTGCTCCTGGGGAAAGGGCAACCAAAGGTGGCCAGGGAAAGGGAGATTCCTCAATACACCTGCTTTTATACTCTGAGAATAAACTAGCGTCAGTTTTGAGAACCACTGCGCAAAAGCAACGTTATCTTGTCTGATCATTATTTTCAGCATTGTGGAAACATTGTCCCCGTGAACTCTGCAAACCAACTGATGGTTTCTCAGCAAACCAGGGGAGAAGGTGTAGAACGTGGACCCGTCAGATGTACTTGAGCGCTCTGTTAGCACACGCTGCCTCTCTCAATCTGTCAGCACCCAGCCTGTGCCCTGGGTCCTCCGTGGGTAGAGAGAAAGTGCTATTTGGGCAAAACCCCAACTCAGCAGATGCAGGCTTCTGGCTCTCCGTCTGCCACCACAGCCCCATGAGTCAGCCAGACGTGTAGTCCCCAAACCACCTCTCCACCCACTGCCCTCACCCTGGCACTGGCAGGTCTGTCTACTCCCCACCCCCATCCTGCACCCCCTAGGCTCCCCAACCCCATTCCACATCTGCTCTGGGACACTTGTCTTCTTTATAGGGGACTGTGTTTAATGGATTGAAGGCTAAAAGAAAAAAAGGGTGGGGGGAACAAACGAGAAATGAGAAAGGCTGCAATGTCTCATCCTTAGCAACTTTGTTTGGTTAGCACTGCATAACTCACAGCCGATTCCAAGGCACTCGCTACATGCTCTAGGCAGTATCCGTAACAAGGTGCAAAAGAGAACCACCAGCTCTTGCAAAGTTGTGTCCAGTTTCTGGGTGGGAGGACGGGGGTCCTTAGCTTCTGTTGCTTTGCATCTAAGTGGGGCCAGCCCGTCTGGTGACTTTGGGGGCCCGGTTTATCTAATGGATGCATCCTACATATTATGCTACCACCGCTGACAATTCCATGAATGAGCTAATGAATACCACTTCCCTGCCTCCCACTTAAGTATGACAAACAGGTGAACAAAACCTCTACACACAGAATTTCATACAAAGCAAGTCAAACAGCAATTATAGTGGCATGTGATGTATTTGGCTTAAAGAAGCTTGTGTTACTGAAGTTAATGCAAAAGTCTGGCCTCTGCTCATGGTTATTATTAAATATATATCCTAAGAGATCGGTCATCTATTATAAACGGTGATAGCCCTGGGTATAAATAAACATTTCTTTAGAGTTTGGCATCAGTTTTTCAGTGTGCTTCCTCAAAGGAGACAGTCTGTTTGAGGGGTCAGTCTTGAGGGTGCATCTGAACCGAGAGGTGTGCAAGGTAGTGACCCCTGCCAGGTTCCACTGCAGGTGCTGGCGGTGGACAGTTCAGGTCCAAAGGCAGAGGTGGGCTGCGGTCACAGGTGCTGCAGGGCTTCCTGTCCTTGCTCCGTGTAACCGTCATCACGGTGGGAGTTGACCCACTGGCCGAAGGACTCCTGGATGTGCACGTTTCTCTGTGTGTTGGCCAGACGCTTCTTATCTCGGGAGAAGAAGCTAAACCTTTCGAAAGGGAAAGAGAAATGAGAGCCCGCCTTCGCTGTGCACGGTAGCGTTTTTGCAACGCCAGGACACACAGCAGCAGACGTGGAAGGAAGCAGCTCAATCCAAGGTGTGAAAGGAGAGGTGCGGGTGCGGGTCAAAGTTATGTGAGAAAGCAGCAGGGGATTCTGCATGTCATTGTCACCGCACCTTGGAGGTGACACAGTGTGAACGGGGCATATGCAACTACTGATGTGTGATGTATCTCATCTCTTACTTAAGCACTGCTGAGGGTCTGTTCTCATTATCAGCGGACATAAAAAACAAAACAAACAAACAAACAAAAAAAAACCGACTAGAAACACACGTCTGGAGTCTCTTTACCCTAACGATGCAGAGAAAGTAATAACGATGCAGAGAAAGTAATGACTAGAATTTAAGATGATTCTGACATAAAGAGACAAATGTTTTTCCTTTAGGTAGTTATGTAACGTGAATCGGGAAACTACAAAAGCAGCACATCAGGGCCCAGATTTCCTGGATATTACTGCTAGAGAGGAGTCGGGAGTAGTTATTTTAGAAGAACGAGACAACCAAAAACAAGTAACGGTGCACACAGTTCTGTGATTAAACGCTGTGAAAACCGTCTGCAAATGAGACTGGGGAAAACGTCGGTTTACAGTGTTGGAAACTGACTTAAGGGCGAAAGCCTTTAGACCTTCGCACAGTGACTTGCTGACTGGCAGTGGCCGATGTAGACCACGGGGTCTTTTTAAAACAGCTGTGACTGCTGATCACTGATCAGAGTGAACCATCTGATGCCTAAAAGACGAAGGCAGAAATTACAGGCAAAAAGCTTATACACTGGCCCGCTGATTTTTTAAAATTTTATTTCAAGTAGGCTCCACACCCAACATGGGGCTCGCTCTCACGACCCTGAGATTAAGAGTCGCACGCTCCACAGACTGAGCCAGCCAGGCGCCCCGGAACTGGCCCATTTAAAAGGAGGTCTGCCTTACTTCCACCTCCACAAAGACCAGGACCCTCAAGTAAACCTGAGGTGGCCCACCTTGAATTTCTCCCAAAAACCTTGGCTAACTTGTCCTTCGACACCCGTACTTTCTAATGAGATTCATTCTTCTCTCACCAAGTTCTGCTACTCTTCAATTTTGGTTCCTGAACTTGGTGAGAGAGATAATAGCTATGTTATGTTTCCCAGGGGCAGGAATAGGAATGCACCGCTGAGAAACTGAAGCTTCAAATCAACTATTTTTAGTTCCTCTGTCTGTTCACCTATTAGCTCCCCC